AATACTACTGTCCACTCACGCCAGGTAAAATACTAAGTGGCATCATCCTGGGGATAATAAAAAGGATGCACTCGATACAACCAACCACAGGAACAAACTGGATTTAGGAAAAATGAATCATGTGCTGATCACATTGCGACTCTACGCATCGTCATCTCAGAACAAAGTATAGAATGATAGTCAAATCTACCTCTAACTCAACTTCCGTCATCGACTTCTAAAAGGCCTTCGACAGCGTCAAAGTTGACCGAGAAGTAATTTGGAAACTACTTCAACACCACGGCGTGCAGTGTCCAAGTGTCTATCAACCTCATTCAACAGTTGGCTATACGACAATGTCACATGTTCGTCAGATGGTCCACAACGGAAAACTCACTCAGCGAGGCCTGTGTTTTGATGTGGTTTTGTTCTCTGAGCTGTGTTCGAAGTGAATACAGGAGGAACACAAGGCTGGTTGGCTGCTTATTATCGCCAACGATGATATTCTTAATTTTGATGGACTGGCTCATGCAACAGACTGAGAGTTGAAAGCGAGGAGACAGGAATACACTGAACCACCTATGAGAGGACTCTGGAAGATGTGGATTTCGCACGTGGATGATTTACGTTTAATGTTACACAGACTTGAAGATTTGAAGGTGAAAGCGAACAAACTGGGTGAAGAGGCTGATAGGCAGTGAAGACAGGAGTCCAGGTGAACATAGAGAAGACTGGGGGTGATGAGGATAATCAAGGAGAAGAGACAACAGCAACAACCAGCACCAATCACCATCAACCGGAGAGATTTGTCAGGGGTTACATCCTTTAGTTATTTGGGGAGCATTGTTACAGCTACAGGCGTAACGGATGAAGGTGTCAAAACTAGATTCGGAAAGGCAAGACAGACCTGCATCAACTTGAAACCAATTTGGAGATCCTCTGCCCTCTCCAGCATTAAGAACAAGATTCGGATTCATAAGAATAGGGTCAAGTCAGTCGCTTTTTCTATATGGGTCAGAAACTTGCACTGCGTGTCACAAAAAGCCTTTTCATCAGGCCACTGAAGACTTTTATCGACAGCTGCCTTCCCTCCATTCGGAAGATCAAATGACCAGCCGGACAGAAATAATTAGCAACAAGATACTCTGGGAACCGACCAGCCAAGAATTTATTGTTCAACAAATATGTAGGAGAAAATGGCGATGGATTGGATAAACTCTGAGGAAACCTTTAGTAACATTGCGCTCCAGACCATTACTCAAGTGCGGCCAGAAAAAGAAACGAGCAGGGCGTGCGAGGGGGATATGGAAGAGATGGTGTGAATAGGAGATGAGAGGCTATGGGCAATCGTGGGGCCAGATGACGAAGGTCGCAGAAAATAGAAACTGGAGATGTGCTTTCAAAGCCGTATATTCTGCTGGGAACCCAAGGGAATAATAATAATATAAGAACATACTGGATGTAGTAATAAATTTGCACAACTCCTGTTTGGGAAATGACCATTTTTTAATGCTATACCTATTCACTTAAATTGGGTGGTTTGGATTTTTCCAATTTGTGAAAAAAATATACTAATGGGCTCATTCCAGTGTTTAAACTGTTATCTAGCTGGAGAGTTCTATGACCTCCACTTACTTACACTGTTCAACAGTATACCTTTTTCGAAATAATAGACATGTAAGATGGATGAGCAAAAGGCGTTGATGCAAATAGGTTGTTATCTCAAACTCCCACTTTCTATGGCATATTATCCGTATGCTCATATGTGTTCTTGATGCATGTTATACAGATATTAGCATGGTATTTATTTCGTGTCGACAAAAATCAAATCAAATGGAATATCTAAACAGCAAATTTCAACCCTTCATCTTTCACAGAGCTGAGAAAGAAACTCAATTACTATTAGATGTTTAGGGGCAATCGGTAAGAGGCTCTAAACTTCGGTTTCGCGCTGATTGTCAATTTTTAGAGAGGAATATCTACAAAACTGAAAGGTTTTGTATTCTAGGGCTGAGGTCAGAGACGTTACTACTGAGCTATTCCGGCCCATTAAGGACTAGACACAACACAGGTTACTACAAACATCCATGTAAATTTATATGTTTATATGAAAATATACATTATTATTATTAATGCAAATCGAAACGGATATTGTTCTTAGTAGTAGTCAAAACAGACATAATGACGACATACTTAGTAATAGGTGAAAACTAGGCATAACAAATGGGAAGACATTTAATCTTGCCTGTTTATGTCGTTGTGATATTGACTTGATTTAAAACATGTTATCTAACTGTATAAAAAACTATTCTAGGATTGTATAGTGTTTTACGTCAGAAGAAATTAGTGAAAGGTCTTCAGTTCAATAGGAGCCGCTTTGAAAAAGTATCAGATGTGGGATGATGTCTTAAAGGATCTGGTCTAATTATTTACTTGTGACCGAAAACAGATAAATCAGTTTAGCAGCTCCGAAATTTTACCTTTTTCTTCGAATATAGTATTTGAGCTTTCTGTGCAGGAATTAAGGAAGCACTTAGTCTCGCTACATTCTAATTTCACTCATACACTACACCGCGTACTAATTAAATTAATCCAAAGTGATTAAGTCCAAATTAAATTCATCCATGTTTTTGATAATGAATGCAAATATATTTACGGTAGCAACTAATTTGAAGACCGGAAGAAGTGATACCAATCAAATTTCTTAGTACATTTTAAGTGTGAATCTAAAAGGAATCAAAAACTTGATTAATTTAGTTGCTGGACACTTCGAGAATAAGTGATACCTTGCTGAAAATACACAAAGAATGTCAAGGATACTGGGAAGCGATGGCCCCAGGATATTTATGACCCCATCCATACATACCAAAAGGGAATGTGACCAGTCTCTTACAGTTTAGGAAGTTTTTTTAACTTGCTGTGGGTCAGTCAAATTCATAAAACGCTTCCGAACACTTAGTTCAGCGTTTCGTTAGTGCATATTCAGTAATTTTAGCACATAATTAGTGGAATGTAAACCCTTAGAGTAGTTTGACCTATTCTTGCATATTACTCAGAACGAAAAATCACGAATTGGTTAACTTGACTGTACAAATGAACGATGTTGGAGTTACAAATACACATTTGTCAATCGAACAAGCTGATATTTGGTACCTTGGTTATCGAGGGCAAGTACAATACTTACTTACTTTACTTCGGCTATCTCCTACGGGATGATGAGCCGGCTTCATGAACGTCTCGAATCATCGCTGCCCAGGCGCGGCAATTTGTAAGAGAGTTCATGAAGTTTCATGGGAATTTGGTACGAGTGATGTCCCCAGCATCGCTCGGCCTTTTGTTTGAGAGTGCAGCTCTAGCCTATACACAGCCAAGTGTGACCTACAAGGCAGTAGGAGTGGAGTATGGAGTCCACTATCCAGTGGCAGCCGGTGACCGGAGTTCGGTTCATACGCCTTTTTGAATGGTGCCAGACATCCAGGACATCCAACAAGCCCTTTGTCCGTACGTCAGCCGGTGAGCTCCAGTGAGCTTCATACGCCAGTCGTTGGAGGTTTGGAATCAGGGTTTAGCCATCTCCCCTAGACCGTCATCCAATGGACAGTCGACCCGGTGGAGAGCGCCGGGCATCCGCTTTCGCCCTCTCACTTTGGTGAGAAACACCTCCGCCACGTGAAGGCAGTGAGTAGGACTTCCTCAGGAGAGGCTATGTAAGACGCCCGGTCATATGGGAGCATTTCAAGAGGTGTGCGGAGGGGTGGCCAACCCGCAGCGCAAGGCACCCACCCCCGACCATCCTGAGGCTTTGGAGGCAGGGCAAGTACAATGCGAGACAGATATATATAGGTGGAAACGAACTGTATGCTACCCAGTGCATTATTGTTGACCAGACAACCACTTGAGAATACCTGACGTAAAGAAAAATGTACGGCTGGTTGAATAAAGTCACTGAGAAGAAAGGATCGCGTTATACCTGTCGGTTTTCATAAGTCTAACCTCCTCTCGTTTATATTTCAAAAATAGTGGAAAAGTAAAATGTTACCCTTGACCGATAAAGAACTATTACACCTTATTGACTTGTAACTTGGTTATGTGGATGACATTTCCACACAACACTGACTGCAATCTAGGGCATATTAAGTGCTGATTACTAATACCGAACTTCATAGAAAATATACAGCGGTCTCCATTCATAGATATGAATTACCAAATATTAATATTACTTATTAAGACTTTCATTGCAGGATCCCAGCAACTACACTAGAATTCATTTGAGAACTACTACATATGAACCAGCAACCGAATGAATTTTTAAGAATACCTGAAACAGAAAGGGTATTAGTGTTGCGTGACCGCAGAGCCCAGGAGACAAATGTTCGATGTCGGGCATACATGGCCTTTTGAAGTGGTTTTTGGAGATGCATCCGCCAGCTGCCAGGTAATTCAAGAAGTTCAACCTTTAGAGCCAGATTTTTCTAAATCCCCGCGGAGGCAGCATAGCTGATCACCTAAGGTAACCGACTTGCTGAAGTTAAATCCCTTTCTCCAAGAGCATGATTTCCCACACTTACCCGAAACACAATGTGACTTACAATATGATGGCAACTCCTTGTAGCCTAATACCTATTCAAACGAGGTTTCTGGCATAGAACGACCAGTAAGAACATCAGTTACAGCCAGTGAAGCTCGGTGGGTCATTGCGACTTACGAGTCCAACCACCACATCAAGGTAAGTTACCAGTCGGAAGTGAGTGAATTGTTGCGTTACATTTTCTATGACACCTTCAAGTTAGAGACAGACGGCATAAACTCATGAAGTGAATTTATATTCTCTTTCTGCAGTATTAGGAAGACTGTCACGCAATAGTCAAAGCAGTAATAATACAGCCATTACAGTTAATTTTGTGAAATTCGTCTTGAAATTCTAGCTGAAAACCACCAGATGTTTGCATGTTCGGAAACTAGCTACGGTCCCCCTTATTTATGAGCTTCAGTTATTAAGTGTTTTAGAACTTGAGTGCAATAAATCCAAAAGCATTTATTTACAAAAATCAAAACAACAAGGAAAATAACTAGAAACGGACCGAAGAAAGGCATTACAGGTAGTTCATTTTGGTCATCATGTGCAGAGGAATACTGCAGGCAGTTTTATTCACGGCCTACAAAATAAATTCAAATAATTAAAACATGCAAATTACACAAAAGTAATTTGAAGATTAAAGAAAACTGGCGTAAAAACCTGTCTCAGTGCATTGTGTTTTGAGATTACCGTGGACATTACAGACAAAAATATCAAACATTTTGAGAAGTTAAAAGAAGCAGTACACAGTAATTGTCTAACTGTAAAGGTAACTAATGTAAGAATACAGTGAATGCAATAAACAGAACAATATACTAATTCAATTATACTGACATTCCACATATTGAGAAGAGAATAATGATTGAACAGACTCCATTCGAATCCATTGATCATAAGTCAAGTGCTATAGGCAATGTTACACCATATGCAAAATTATAAGTCCTCACCATAGTTCAAAGTAACACGCAATAGTTGTGCTGCACGAATAAGCAGTGGGAAAGTTTGTTAATTTAATATACAGCAAAAAAGTTCTAATTATGAGATTGAAGAGAAATGCAATCTTCTGCTCAAACGATTAAGGAGTCATCTATCATCAACGAGGTGACGTCTGAGATACGTTGTCACTAGGTTGACTACGCTAGGTATTACAAATAGCTTCAGATGTGACAAAAAGCTATGATGAAAGCTCCACAATAGGCGCTTTGCTAAGTGGTACCCTTTTAGTTAGAAAACTCTGAACATGATATTTCCTGTAAAGCGTAACATATCAACATTAATTTGTATTTTTATCAAAGCTAAGCACAGCGAAGTTTAACTATAGCAGAAAAACATGATCAGTTTACCAGCTGTCGTAGACAAGTATTAAAAGATACTACTTTCACTTACTTTAAGATTCACGAAATTGTTCGGCCTCCTATGATCGAAGTATACCTAAATGAAAATGGAAATTATTATGATAATACATACAGTGAGATATCATCACGCACAAGACTAGGAGCAGGAGACGCATAATCTTCAAGTGAAAGCGGTAAAGCTGGTAGAGCGATTTGGCACTCAGCACTTATCAAATCATCCTCATTTCTAAAGAGATATATCAATATACGACTGATTGTAATACTACATGTCTGTTTGTACACTTTCTGAATTACTAAGAGGAGTAACTTCACACACTATTGAGCACGGTCTCGTAAGCACTGAAGCGTATTCAACAGGAAGGGAACTCAGTGGTTCTACTTTCACACAGCATGATAACAGTGTCGCAAATTCCGCATCAGATGTCATTGGTGAAACTACAATACATATTATTGTCAAACAGCGGTTACCTGAGACAAGTGAAGCGCGAAATTTCTCCTTTACGGGTGAATTTCTGATGTACGGAAACCGACTACAAAGTCTTGACAGTGAGGCAGACCTTCCCGCCTTAGCAATAATAAACCTGACCGTAATAGGCGGGAAGGCATAAATCCCGCCTGCATGAAGGACAGATATCCATCCAATATCCAATATTATTTTTACGACGTAGTGTAGACCAAATCGATTTCTTCGAGCTCGTCGCTTTATTATAAGGCGGAGATGCCTCAGATCCACTAAAATTCTCTATTGTGTGTCCCACAATTCAACTGCAGTAGCTGTGGTTGACTCCGGAGGGAGTGGTGTAAAGATTGGTGTGTAGTGACCGTGCTACAAGTGTGAATCGAGTTAATCATTTCACTAACAAGTGGGCCTGTGTGTTCGAATAAGGAGATGGCTGTGGTTATTGGAAATTATGTAAGCATAAGAAAAACGAACAAGAAAATTGATAAATGATAAAATTCAACAAATAAAAAGTAAATGAATGAACAAGTGAAGCGATCAGAAGAGCGAGAAAATGGAGCGGTTTTAATACAGGGGCTTAGATGATGAGCATTAATACTATGTGGTGAGTTTCAAGTGAACGATGAGGACGAATGTACTCCTCACTCTGGTAATTTTCTAACCTACATTTAAAACATTCTATCGAATGTGCAGTTGCTACATGGTAAATATTCAGGGGTAGTCACTTCAGCGTTACGTTATATAATTGTTTTGAAGTCTTAGAACAATTTCATGAGTTAGGGGGTCTGTCTATATATGAAGTGAATGACTACACATGCCCTTACCGCCTCATATCGGTAGTTATCCTTCTATTCAGGTTTTATATTAGAACGGGACATGAGTCGCGCCGTGGCGTTACACAGGACAAGTTGTCGTTACAAAGGTGTAACTTCCTGCATCGTTTCGGTTTCTGTTACTTCGAATCTTTCCAGACTGAACGACATACCACTGACCTTTGCTTAGTCTTTCGGAGCTTTCAAGTCCACCTTAAACCTTCTGAGATTTTTTCGCCCTTAATATCTTTACGCCATTGGCGGGACAATACAGAGTGCATGTCAGTTTCCTGATGAACATTAGAAACACGAAGGGCCCAGAGGACAGTACCCTCTGAATCTGCTGATGCCCGTCTGTACCAGGACGGTTGGACAAAATTAACTTTGCGACATAATTCCCTACCGCCTACAACCATGAGAGTAGCCGGCGCCCTCTTCTGCCTAATTTGTCAGGGCGAACATTATGCTGAACAATCTCAAATGGCATCGCGAAGTCGAGGAAGATCATATGGAGCGGAACATTTATATCCTAGCAGGATGTCCAACTACTGCATACGTGTGTTCGAATCACGTCGTGCTCGCCATTTTAAGGACCGACTTTTCGATCAAAAGGATTGTTCACATCACTGCCCGACGACCCGCAATATTGTAGAAGACTAGTGGTGTTTGGATCTGAAAGAGTGGAGATAAACGCCATCGCGTTTTAAATTTACCTCGCCTCTGGTTCTCTCGTCTCTCATTGGCTAGGACAGTGGCAGTCAATTGGATTTTTGATTTGTCATACGTAAGTGATGCCATGTGCGGTCTTATGTGGTTCTGTTATGCGTGGTTTGCAAGCAACTGTGATGAATATAAATGTAACATTTGACTATTCTAACGTTGTTTCACTGTTTTTATACAGATACAATATTCTTTTCGTTGTACACTCTCTTAAGGCTGGTTAGCCATTATGGTGATTGTCGGTGACTACGATCCCGTGGGTCCCAATGCATATCATGGGTCGTGCTTATACGTACAACATAATCCACTCCGATATCTCTCACTCACACAATCTAGTATTCTGTGTTTCTTGCGAGCTAATTGTGACAAGCCGTGGCAATAATGTGCTTCGTTAATGAGGCCTTTTACTGGAATTTCATCGCACGTAATCAGTGCGAGCGGAAGCAGCACATTTGTAAGAAGCTGCGAACGCATTAGAAGACTTTTACAAAGCTATAACCTTATGAATTGCTAGCGGTGACGACCTTTTTCACATACCAGTATGTGGCTGCATTCACTTGCAAAGGAAAAATAGGCAAATGAGACATTGTATGGTAGTGAAAAAACTTTGTGGAACTTTCATCTGGCCTGTATGTTTCGCTCTAATATTTTTTCCCTCAGATCACTAACAAAGTATTGTTATATGTATTCTTGCAACATAATTCAATGGCACAGTTAGTGACAGTTAATAATATTATGTGTGCGTAATATTCATGGTATTTTCTGCACCATTAACGTGCTCCACATTTCAAATGAAGTGTAAACTAGGAGGACTGAACTTATTGAATACTTAACTCATATTTGGACATGCATGTCGATTATGTAAATGCTTGATTTATGTAACTGCATTTAATCTGTATCACTTTTGGGAGTGTCGAATCGTAATGAGGTCTTTCAGTTAGCTAAATTCAGTGGAAGCAGATGTGGTCGCATTCGGACAGAGACATCCGAAAAACACTGATGAGTGTTTTACGACTTACGACCAGGTACATTTGCATAATCAATTGTAGAAATTGACTCTACATACAACAACAGGTGGAGGCAAGTTCACTCGTTCACTTATAACTATGCGGGTATTCTTTTTTCCAGTTTGTGAAACCGGATAACTTTGGATGTGTGGGTACAATTCTGTTCATTTGAATTGCGGAGGAATTTAAACTTGACACGACTTGGACACTAGGCAGTTTCCGTCGAATAACGAAAGATCCTTCCAAAATGAATATTTCCATATTGCACTGTGCTCAGCCTATACACGTAAACAAGCCCGTTCACGATGCAATGGCATAAACTTTTCCATATAATATTGCTGTGTTCTATTTTTTGCATGCGGTGGGTTTACGGCATGCTTGACCAGTACTCCCTGGGATATAAACTCGCTGCTAAACGTGTGTTATTCCGTACGAACACTATCAGCCAATATAAGTGGCGAATTAAGAGTACTTTGGTCAAGCCCGAATATCTTCCTAAAGTTGCGCGATTGTGTCGCCTAGCCTAAACCTAAACCCTGTGTTTAAAAATTGAGAATTAAACTTAGGCGCTTTGGTGGAGTTCGATTTGATATAGAATAAAGTGTATTCAAAATTAGTATATTAATATCAATTAATTTACAGCGTGATCTCAATCCACATGATAATGGGTGTTAACGTATAATGCAAAATGAAGTTTGCATGAGACAAACAATTGAGTTGATGGAGCTGTAGCAATTGTAGCACTGTTTCAGTTACCTTGAATTATGCCACTAATTACTTCTTCAGGTCTCATTGATAGGTTAAGCCCCCATCTAGCCATGATGACAAATTTAGTTTCGCTCAGATAGAATTAGAAAAGTATGTTAAGTATTATGTTAAATATTGTCAGCCAACTCTCAGAGACTGTCAATTTCCAACTCTTACTACGCTGAACCTCACACTGTCCCTGGAAGACTTTCAGAAACAATTTGTAATAACCAACGCGAAGAAACCAGAACACAGATTGGCGACTCGAGAATCCCTTATTCTTACGTCAATATGTAACCAACAATAAGGTTATTACACACAGGGTTTCTGATAGTTTTTTATCTTCCAATGAACAGCGAACGATGAGACGATGACTAGTGGATTGGTGACTCCCGCGAAAAATATGGAGGAGTTGGGTTTGAGCAAACAACCATGTATTGATCGTTCAATCTTCAACTGCATTCACAAATATATTTGATGAAAAATAATAACAGGCAAATTCCTGTAAAAAATTGTTTGTCGTAATTAATTCGGCCATGTCGAGCTGCTGTGACCAGGTTGACTGACGTTACCAGACTTCTGCAAATAAGTGAATAAAGTGTTTTTGAATCCGTTGCAGTAAGAAAAAAGCAATATCAGAGTTAAACACTTTATATTTGCCTGCCTTTTCCGACGAAGGTTCACTCTCCTCTATCATTCAATGGTCGTGACAGCATTCTTCTGTGGCCTTCACACTGTTCCCTTTGTCGAGTGTAGCACCGAGCAAATGACGAATTCATGTTTTGACGTCAGTTTGAACTTTGAAAGATGGTTCACACATCTAATAGATAGTAATTATCGAAACCAGAGTAACGCTTGTTTCTATCTGTTCAGAGTATTTCCTTTGACGAATTTTCTTATCGACAATTTGCAGTATTCCTATTGATTTGATGGGAAGCTTGACATCATGTTCACTATCATTGACTGTCCGTTTACTGGGAAAAGCATGCAGTAACCTCATATACCTAAACATTTTAACCTGAAGATCACAAAGTCTCTCTAGATAAGGTGTTTAATAATAAATGGTCAAAAAATATGGGTCACAAGTGAAACTTCCATATCCTTCATAGCTATAGGTAATTCCTGAAGGAGCTCAGAATACCTTAGTGACCTGGAAACGGATGATTATTAGGACTGGTATAACTTACGTAACGGGTATGCTGGTGACAGTATGCAGCCACAAGCTACTTTTCGACAGAAAGGTAGTACTAACTACAAACACTGTTACGTTTCAGAAGGACCATCCATAATATTCTCCTTGTTCTAGTTCACACTGATATCAAGGTAGGCTGATCCCATTTGGTGCAGTAAACAGCTACGGTCTTCCAAAATTACATGTGACAATGTAAATTCAACTGGTAACACATCTTCCACTGAGCAATTTCAATCATGAACTTCACCAGAATGGACATTATCACCTCAAAACTCAGCCGCTTGTCTGATTCATCACGTGATATTCATACATACAATAGGTTTACTTTCAGCTGCAGCAAATGACAGCCTTTTTTGCTACGCGATTTATTCAAGGGATACTAGACGCGCTGGCATTTTCTCATCGCAGAATCCATTAGAACGTTATTTAGGTGCTCAAGAGTTAGGGAAAGTAATAAGAAGACTTAATAGTTATCCTCATAATAACCATGGTTTTCTAAAATATAGGCTCGTAATGCTTAACCTTTCCTCAGCAAAATGAAATCGCTTCTCAACCTGGTATACACTGAACGGCCAACACTAATCCTTGTAACTGAAACCAGTCTATCTAATGATGTACCTGACAGAAGGCTGGTAACTGATAACTATGAAATCCACAGAAATGATAGAGTCAACAAAAGGGGAGGCGAGTGT